GTGGTGCTGTGGCTCAAGTGGTAGAGCGCTAGCCTTGAGCTGAAGAGCTGAGGGACAGCGCCCAGGCCCAGAGTTCAGGCCCCACGACTGGACCAAAAAAAAATAAAAATAAAAATAAAATAAAGTTAGCTCCACTAAGACATGATAGATATAAGGATAGTCTCTTCCAACTCCTAGTGTTGACTCTCTGCTGTTGAGTCCCACCAAAGACCCTCTTAATAAAGTGTTAAGCCAAGTGCCAGTGGGGTAGTACACACCTGTAATGCCAGCTACTCAGATTGAGACCTGGAGACTCTGGATTTGAAGGCAGCCTAGGCAGAGAAGTCCCCTAAACTCCATCTCTAATTAACCAGCAAAATGTCAGATTGGAGGTGTGGCTCAAGTGGTAGGATATCAGCTGTGAGCAAGAAAGCCAAACAAAAAACCCGAGGCACTGAATTCAAGCCCTAATACCAGCATAAAAGAATATCAATAGGGCTGGGAATGTGGCTTAGTGGTAGAGTGCTTGCCTAACATGCATGTAGCCCTGGGTTCAATTCCTCAGTACCACATAAACAGAAAAGGCCAGATGTGGCACTGTGGTTCAAGTGGTAGAGTGCTAGCCTTGAGCAAAAGAAGCTCAGGGGCAGTGCCCAGGCCCTGAATTCAAGCCCCAGGACTGGCAAAAGAAAAGAAAAAGAAGGAAGAATAGCAATAAAAAAGAATTAAGTGTCACAGTTGATTAGTTAAGTCCTAGGTTTAGAAATCAGAGGTAATTAAAACCGTTAAAATTTTGGTTTTGTTAAGATTATTTTAAAAATCATGTATTTAAAAAAAAATCCAGAAAACTGATTATACCAGATTTGTTTTCACTCTCGCAGACTCTAGCCATCTATGATCGGTTTGGCAGGTTAATGTATGGACAGGAAGATGTGCCCAAGGATGTCTTGGAGTATGTGGTGTTTGAAAAACACCTGACGAACCCGTACGGAAGCTGGAGAGTACATGGCAAGATTGTGCCCTCATGGGCACCCCCTAAGCAGCCTATCCTCAAGGTAAGGTAGTTTGCACTGTGTATGAGCCCTCAGGCAATGCTTGTGGCATCCTTAGCCACCCTCCTGGGCTCCACCTAGTGGAGGTGCATGTTGATGCCATGCTTTGGAAGGGGGTTGTGGCAGGGGGTAGGTAGACATGGGGATGAAGCTTCTGAGTGAGCCATGGATTTGGTGGGTAACTCAGCCTTTCCTCTTTCAGACGGTGATGATTCCTGGTCCCAAGCTGAATCCAGGGGAAGACTATGAAGAAGCACAAGGAGAGGCCCACAAGCCTCAGCTAGCCTAATAGCAGAAGGATTTCTAAGGGGGAAGCTTGGGTGATGCAGCTGCTGCAAGCTGCGAGTCACCCGCCATCATCAAGCTTCAATTGTTGCCTCTTGTTCTGCTTGAGTCTCTTCATCAGACTGGTCCTCACAACTGTAGCTAATGACTAGGCCCAGGTGGATGGCTGGTATGCACAGCACAGCTCTTCTTCTTTCTAAAAGAACTGAATCACATGAAGGCAATATGTTTCAGAGAATGAGCATCAGATACCAGCTTGTTCACAGCAGGGACTGTGGAAACAAATTGGCAGCATTCTTTTCCTCATCACAGGGCAGGGATCACAGTTTAAAATAAAACATTTTCAGCATGTTGGACAAATTTTGGTGGGTTCGGTGTGCTTTTCCTGGTTCAAACTGAGAGTGGAACAGTCTTCTAAAGGCAGAAATGAAGACAAGCCTAATTATGAATGATGTTAACTCTAGGAAATCTAGGCTTGGAAAGAAGAGTGTTTATTAGGGTATCACCTAAGAAAGTCTTAATGAATCAACATTTGTGTATAAATCCAAAGACCAGTTGATATATATCCAAAGAAATAATTAATCCCTTAGCCTTTGGATTGTATTATTAGCTTTTTACCCTTTGTGGCACTAGAGATTGAATCCAGAGCCTTACATGGAACTCCTAGGTAACTGGTAGTAACTCTACCACTGAACTACATCCCAAGTCTTGTATTCTTTTTGTGGGTCATAGGGCTTAAACTCAGGACCTGGGCACTTCCTTGAGCTTTTTTATTCAAGGCTAGTGCTCTACTTCATTGAACCACAGCTCCACTTGTGGTTTTTAGATGGTTAATTGGACATAAAGAGCCTCATGGATTTTCCTGATTGGGATGCCTTTGAATCATGATCCTCAGATCTCATCCTGAGTTGCCAGGGTTACAAGCATGAGCCACCGGCTCCATACTTATGCTCTTAATTATCAGCTGCTTCCTGGTATGGCCTTAGAAAGTTTGAGAGGAGGTACAGTCAAGAAGGGATTAGTACATACAGAAATTTCTTCAGGATTCACTTCCCTAATTTACCTCTTGGAAATGAAGATAAGTCTTTTTAGTCCATTATGGGGAAGGCAGACACCAGAGTACAAACTCCTATAGAGTAAAACAGCCCAGCTTCTTTGTACCTTACACTAGGTGGACTGTCAGAAGAAGGATGTGGCATGCATGTTCTGTCCTCTAGGCTTGAAAAAGAGAAAGTTTAAGAATCAAGGCTCTGGGCTGGGAATGTGGCTTAGTGGTAGCGTGCTGCCTAGCATACAGGAAGCCCTGGATTTGATTCCTCAGTTCCACATACACAGAAAAAGCCAGAAGTGGCACTGTGGCTCAAGTGGTAGAGCACTAGCCTTCAGCTGAAGAGCTGAGGGATAGCGCCCAGGCCCCAGAGTTCAAGCCTCACAACCAACAAAAGAAAACAACAAAAAGAAGCTCAGGGACAGTGCCCACGCCCTAAGTTCAAACCCTGAGACTGGCAAAAAAATAAAAAATAAGTCAAGGCCTTATTTTTAAATGTGAGCCTACACTAGATTGATGAAATCTATCGCATTTATAAGTTAAGCTGGAAAAAAGTGATTTCAGCTGGGTGCTGGTGGCTCATGCCTGTAATTCTAGTTACTCAGAAGACAGATCTGAGGATCACAGTTGAAATGAGCCCGGGCAAAAAAAGACACCTCTAAGCACTAGAAAACTGGAAGTGGCACTATGGTGCAAAGTGTTAGAGCACTATTTTTTTTTTTTTTTATTGAGCACT